ATGCCTGACAGTCACTGCCCAACGAAGACACCGTCAGTGCATGGTGATATCTGGCCTGATCAGCCAGACGTACCTGCTGTTTTTTGCATTGTGTGGCGAGGGCTCAGCCTAGAACCCCCACTCCGAGTGATTCGAGCAGTGTCTGAGCAAATCGGATAAGATCGAAATGATGCAAAAAGAAGAGATGAGAAGATGACTTTAGCTTGTTAACCCAATATAGGATTCCGGTCATATCATGGGTCCATCCAAATGTGCGTGTGTGTGGGTGTGGGGGGGGGGTGCGTGTGTGGGCGTGCGTGCGTCCGTGCGTGCGTGTGTTTGATCGTATGTGTCGGTGCCTTCCGGCAGGTCGATTCGCGAAACCTGCTCGGCGAAACACCGTTGATGTCCAGCACTTGTATGCTTTGAACGTGCAGTGTCCATACCCCGCGAAGTAATTTTCGAACAGGGGGCATCCAAGTGTTCCCTTGTCTGTCGTGGTCGTGCCGGTGCAGTGGCGTTCATGAGTCCGCTTAGGCTCGCATGCCGCGCTGCCATGGAACGCCCCTGCGATGCTTCGCCAGCAGGCCCGTGGCTTCGCCAGCACCCAAGCATCATGTCTTGCAGTTGTAGCACCTCAGAGGCCCTGGAGGGCCTTCGTTCATTTCCATGCCTTCGAAATGAGTGATACTGCACATATACTAAAATTAGATCCCAGCTCAGAGCCCCAGCTTGGGAAGTTTTTTCGAGCTCGTGCTCTGGTCTGCCAGTTTGGGCTTTCCTACGTCAGTCTTACATCCGCTCAATGAGTGTTGAAGTGTGAAGTCAACGTAGGTGCCGAATTGGTATGTGTAAACAATCAAGAGATGGTGGTGACAGTGTTTGGATATCCAAAAAGCAGTGTTGAGGCCCAATGCGCAAGCTGTTGGAGGTGCTTGACCTTAGCAAAGTATTGGCTGCTGGCACACGAGTGCAGACGATGACGTTGTAGAGATGCGTCGGCCAGGCAAGGGCAGATCCGAATGCAGCTGACCTTTCTGGCGAGCCGCCACTGATCGAAGCTGCCTGCTATGGTGATCTAGAGGTGGCAAAAGTGAGTTGCCACAGCACATGCTGCATGGAAGGTCCGTTTGCAGGTGTAGGCATATGCATAGGGCTTCAATTGCACGTAGGATTCGGGTTTCCGACATTGGCACTGCGCTTGCATGGCAGGTGTGCCAGCTGTTGTTGGAGGGTCGTGCAGACGCAGCCCATGAAAGCACAGCGCGGCACCAAGTGTAGCGCTGTTGTTTACAACTTGCAGAACAACATGGCTTGGGATGAAGCTTGTTTGAGTTGTCCGCGAGAACTCAAGTGTGGTTGAAGCTCAAGATCGTGTGCGCATGGCGCACCAGCTTGAAGGCCTTGCACTGATTTCGGCGACGGCAATGGAAGCATGAAGCGAACAATGAAGCTCAACAGTGGTGATGACGGCAGCCTGCACGACGGCTTGGTGAAATGCGCATCCGCATGCTTAAAATTGCAAATGGGACGAAGACCGTGCAATTGAACTGGTTAATGGGGATGGGATAGTCTTTGGGATTTCCGTCAACATTCAGGAGCGGGCTGCATGAGGGTTGAGTTTCTCCCAGCTGAAGGTGGGTGTAACTGCTCTCGGCCTGGCAGAATGCGAAGGCCACAGAGAGGCACCTTCTGCTGGCTACCAGAATCAATACGCAAGTGTTCCTGATTGTCGCACTTTTCTGGACAGCTGCATCTTGCAAGAGCTACAGCAGTGATCGGGCAGGTTGCTGAGCTTCTCGCCCAGCACTTGCAGTCCATGGCCAAGGAGGTCGCAGCGGCTCAGTAGTATTGTTAATTCTTGGACTCGACACGTGACAGGACTTGGCAAGTAAGGCTGCGGAAGCGATTGCACAAGCTGCGCCTTTGAAGCAGAACAGCTCTTGCTGCAGGCATGTTACTAATTTGCTGCACCTCGAGGCTTCGACATTGTGACAACAAGAGCCGCTGTTACTGGAATTTCGAGTATGGGTGTCTCGTTTGATGCGCTGGTCAACGTCAACACTTCTCGTGCTTTTTGCGGGAGGGCGAAAGATTGAGCTTAGCAAGCTTCGGCCAGCAGCGGCCACCGCTTTCGGATGCCTGCCACGACCGTTCTCTTGCACACCATGTGGGAGAACAACCTGCGGGCAAGGAAGCAGCACAGGAGGCATTCCTCAGTCCATGGGCAACATCATTGAACTTCTCCGAGTAGGCTGCAGATCTCGTGCAAATTGCTTTCCTGCGGGTGTGGGGCGAACGAAACAGCTGGAGGATGGATGTTGACCACGTCGCAGTTGGCATACCGCGTTTTACGCTTCATTCACATGACTTCCTGTCCACCTTAGCGCATACGCAGAGACGATGGAGGAAGCTACGAAGGCTTTTGCCGGCACTTACAAGTCGTTAGGGCAGAAACCAACACGCGAGGAGACTTGCCGCATACAAACAGGTTCGCTGCAAACGAGGCTGTACAGTGCACACTGGCACAATCCTGGTCAGAACGTGGTAACACGTGCTATTCCATCAGAATACCCAACAGCGATGACATGTAGTGTAGGCATAAGACTCCAGGAGCAGACGCAGGCAGACAGAGCAGGAACTGTGCGCCAAGGCTTCGGCAAATCAATTGAAGAAAGAAGACCTTTGCCAGGGTGTGCGAAGCCAAGCTCGAGGCATTGGATCGGAGGTCGCGACGTCTCCGCATTGTTTCGGCCAAGGAAGACGAGCAGAATTTCGATCAGCACGTCCCATATGTCCCATCTTCTCCAAGTGCACGACCTTCTGAGGCATCATGCATCATGACCCTAGCGTTTTGTCAAGTGGTGTAGTTAGCTGACAGAGTGCTTGCAGAGGCGGCCGCTGCCACAGACAGATCTGAGCAAATCACTGTGAGCAGCTTGCCTACGATATGCGAGAGACATGAGTTTCACAAGAGATCACTGCTAGATGTCCACGCCGTGCATGCCCTCATACTCGCAAGAGGTGGATGCAGTTGAGTCAGTTGAGTCTACACGTCTCAGGTCCACCCGCAGAGCTTGGATCGGCAGAAGCTGGGCCCGGCTACCGGGAGGCGTGCCCACAGCATCCTGCAGAATTTTCTGCTTGTTGATGTGCCTCTAGGCCTAAAATGCTGTCGCATCGGTGGGCATGTTGAATTCAGATGTTGACCAAAACGCGCTACACGACATACTCGTCATGCGTGAGAAGGATATTCACTTGCATGACCCGCTTCCTCTTGCCCTTCCGGACCTTTCGACTGGGCCCAACTGGTCAATACCACGAGCATGAACACCGATGGGTGTTGGGCGAGACGGACTCGTTCTGAAGCTGGCTCTGTGGCCGGAGCTTGCGCGGTGCTTTCTTTTCGATCTAGCCCTTGCTGCACAGGCCCCCTCACTCTTGTTTTGTTTTCGTCTTCCTCGTGCACGCTAGTGCTTGCGAGCGGCAAGGGGGGGCCTGTGTCTTTTGCAAAAGCGCGCCGCGTGACTGACCTCTCTAGAGGACTTGGAGCCCAGACGGATTCCACAAGAAACTACACATGTGCAGCGACATGTGTCCCCACACGTCTGGTATTTCTGACAAGCTGATGACAAGGCTGCCGAGGATCAGTTGAAGAAAGAAGACCTTTGCCAGGGTGTGCGAAGCCAAGCTCGAGGCATTGGATCGGAGGTCGCGACGTCTCCGCAATGTGTCGGCCAAGGAAGACGAGCAGAATTTCGATCAGCACGTCCCATATGTCCCATCTTCTCCAAGTGCACGACCTTCTGAGGCATCATGCATCATGACCCTAGCGTTTTGTCAAGTGGTGCAGTTTGCTGACAGAGTGCTTGCAGAGGCAGCCGCTGCCACAGACAGATCTGAGCAAATCACTGTGAGCAGCTTGCCTACGATATGCGAGAGACATGAGTTTCATAAAAGGTGTCGGCTAGATTCTGCTAGATGTCCATACCGTGCGCCAATGGTGCCTCGTTATCGGGCAAGACAGTGGCATCCTTCAAGACTGCAAGGTGAATCCACAGATCTTGTGCCGGCAGAAGCGGGGCCTGTGCTCAAGAAGGAGGTGCCTCGGGGACGACCACCACAGGCCGGCTCTGCACTTCACCAGAGCCCATGGTGCAAGCGACGGCCAAGTTGACAAGATGAAGTGCGAGACATTAACAGAAAAACACAAAGATAGGCGGATATTTGGTTGGGATCGCTCGACTATACTGGTTTTTGGCATGTCACATGCTTGGCTTATGCTTGATTCTAAATGCCAGATTGCAAACAAATTTGTTGGGTTTCAGCAGATTTCACGGGGGCATGCGGCGATGTTCCCCACTTCGTATCCCACACCTGCATCAAATGCCCGTGCAGTATGTCATGGCACGTCTTAGCAAATTGCAGCATGCTGCAGATACTTTGGACTGCGCTAGGCTATACTTGCTCTCGATGCTATCTCGTAATAGACTACGCTGAAGTAGATTTTTTTAACTAGATGTTGCTCAGTGGAATTGAACTTCAACAGATTATTCTCTCCGTTTTTACATGCGTCGCTCAACATTACAATGTTGTACTCTATAGTACTTCACTCTATGCCAGCATGTTACACATAATGTTTTCGGTTTCACCATACCGTACACTAATTGGCAAGGCTTTAGCGGACTAATTCGTTTTTACTTCGCAGACCTAAACTCATGTCGTTGCGGCATATTGCGATAGGCTGTTGTGCGGAGCAGGGGCTCAATTGTATAACGGACACGACGGAAACTGCGCGAACATCGCAGACGGCTATCAAACAGTGTCAGTTGGCACTGATGAAGCCCACAAGAACGCAAAGACGTCCAATGAACTTGGCTCGCCTTCACTTTTTGCCAGCCACCTGAAGCCAACAAGATTGTCATTCTCACGATAACCGAGCTCCGCGAAGAAATTCCAGCCACGTTGACACTATGTTCTATATTTTTCTATTCTTCCTTCTGATGCTTTCTGCACAATTTTTGATGCCCTGCCAAAAGAACCTCGCCTCGTGACTGGTGCGAACAGCTCGAATCCCGGACGAATCCTCTCTCTCACTCTCTTTGTCTCGCTCCCCGATGCTGTCTTTGAAGCAACCTACACCTTCTCAGAGCAGGGCCTGAACCCACGACCCAAGGGGGGGGAGGAGGAACGACCATAAAGGCAGACGGCCGCAAGCAGCGTAGCCATAGTAGAAGCTCCAGATAATGAGGGGTTTGGGTGTTTGTTGTTATGCTGTGGGACCTTTTCCTTATGCTCCTGTTGTTTTGCTCCCACCTCGACCCCCCCCCCTGCCATGCCGGTGATATGATTTTGGGATCTATGCAAATGTTTTTGTTTATGCTTCTGGCATCTTCCGGCTTCCGTTCCTTATGCACACCTGGCTTTCACTTCTGCTCGCCTGGCGTTTCCTTGTGGGCACCTCGCTTTTTTGTCTTATGCGATTATGGTTTCTACTTGTGCTGCCTTCCCCCCCTTCCGCCCCGCCTTCCACCCTGCCCCTTGCCTTCATCTCTCCCTTTTCCTCGTTCTCGCCCCTCCTCCCCAAAGGCTGCCAAAGGATGTATTGGGTTGGTTTTTTTCTCAAGGCCACTGCCGCCTCATAGACCGAAACGACCGAAAGCATTTTATGCAGTCTTGGTACTCGCTTTACATTGGTGCTTCAGTTGCTTCTGCTTCTCCGACAATGCCATGACTTCGGTCGCACTACGGCTGCAGTTCTCCTACTATTGTCTTACGACTACTTCGACTAGTCCAGGGAGCCATAGCCAGCTTGGGACACCTTAATGATGTATGGTTTTGTGTTTGGAAAGGTCGGTGCGGAAGCCATGTTTGGAGCGTGAACTTTGCCAGCAAGGATATCTAGGTAAGCGCCCTCTAGAGTACACGCTGCTGTTTCCAGAGGCATGGCAAATTAGCATCGAACGGGCGGGCATATAAATTAGTAACCCCAATTCTATCTTTTGCTCCTTTGGGTTCGCTAAGGCTTCCCCCCTTGAGCTACCCTCGCGTAAAGATCCGATCTGCAAAGTAGGCTACTTGTTTGCATGTAGGTTCACGGCTGGTCTTGGCTTCGGAAGTTGCGCTACGGTAATAGTCGAGGTTCTCCACGGGCCAAAGGAGTGTGCAGGTCGAACCATCAAACTAGCAATCCCCCGGAAAGAACAGAATTTCAGAATCAGGTTTCACAAGTTGCGGTCTTCATACATCCTCACATCGGCCGGAGGTTCTCCAAGGGGCCATGTAATGGCATCGGAAGAGCAGGCAGCTCGAAGGATAAAAGTTTGTCAGCTTCAGTTTCCGTTGAGAAAAAACCTAGACCCAAAAACCCAGGTTTCGCAGAGACGTTTTGCAGGGCCGATCAATTCGCAATTTTTCTGCAAAGCGCAAGAAGTCTCCAAAATCTGGTTTCGCGCAGCGAAGTAACATAAGGACAGGTTCGCATACGGGGGACGCCGAGCATAAGGAAAAGCCAGCAGCCAGGTTCACATAAAGGGAAAAACCTTCAGCGGAAGGAAAAGCCGCTCGCATAAGGGGAGAAATCATCAACACAAGATAAAGTCATGCCACAATCAGGGCCTGCAGCCCTAAGCCCTAGGAAAACGTCACGGAATATGTTGTCACCGCGACACCTGAACAGGAAAAATGCACTGGCGAGTGAATCGCACTGTGAAGTTCAAGCCTTCAAACATAATCCTCGAGACAGGACACTGTTTCAATTACAGCAGGCCAACACGTGAGGGAGGGAGGGAGGGAGGGAGGGACGGCAGGGAGGGAGTGAGCGAGTGAGTGGCTCAGCATCGACCAGCACATACGGTGTGGCCTGCGTCCCTCTCAACATCTCAGAGGGGGCCCGCAAATGTCATTGCCCCCCTCCGTTGCAGAGTGCAAGTGGGGGAGAACTAGCTACTGTAGTGACGTGCCGATTTGCGAGCCAGACGATGTGTACAGGAATAATTTATGTGAGAAAACTTGGACCGGCCAAATAAATTTCGGCATGCAACCTCCACCTCCATCCACAAGCTCGCAGGATGCGAAGCAGCGCGGCGGAAGGCGAACAGGCAACCAAGCAGGAAGACAGACCCATAAACTGCCAGCTGAGCATGACATGCCGCCACAGCTATAAGACACACTGGGTCTACCCTCGGACCGCTCGGACATGGGAAGGGAGAAGCAGTGCGCTAATGACCTTTAAATTAAAATGCAAGTAAATGTGCCAATATTCGAGGGTACTACCGCCCTAGTGGGGGGAAGGGTGAGGGTGGGGGGTGCTCTTCGGGACGGCGTCCTTTAGCACCGCCCCTGGGATTCACACCCACCCTGCACGCCCCCGATCCGAACAGCTGCTAGGCTCGAGGCCAACACGAGAGAAATCGCGGGCCTTGATGGCACCCAGCTTTCGCGTCGGCTTCGAGTAGCAGTATCAGGAGTCGGGGGTTGACACCTTCGATACATCTGCCGTATCTCGATTTTGCTGAGACTAGGCTCCAACATCAGCCTCTTTGTGTTGATGGATAAGTAACTGTTTGCCCGCACGCGTGCCTTTTTGTATTTCTTCCTTGGATGCGCTGCTTGCAGGTGCAGCAGGAAAGGTCGACGCCGCCATCACAGACTCGGTCTGGCAACACATCTTTCACACCCACGCTGGCATCGTCCCCTGTGATTAAAAGCGCATCGTCGGCGTACTCATCTGCCTCGCGACTGCAGCCATTGCTCACAGTCCTAGCATCTTTGCGTTTGTGCTCGTGCTTGGCCTTCCGAGGCTCAATCCACACAGAAGCCTGTCGATCCGCCCACATCTCGGTACACGGGTGATGGCCTAAGCGTTGAGTCAGCACGTGCGATTGACCTTATCTTGGAATACACAACTGGATGATCTTCCTGTCATCCTGTCCTCAGGTGCTACTGCTCAGCCAACTCGTTTGCCATCTCGACCCAACACAGCCACGAAGCGGCTTGGCTTGACAAGTCAGTGTGGATAGGCAGGAAGGTGCTGCTTCGGTTCGATATATTTGAAATCCCACGTCCGTAAAGCCCGGCCCACCTGGCGCTCCCACCTGTCTTGGCTTTTGCTCTCCTACAGAGACATCTAGCCAAGCAAAGTCCAAGCAAGCTCTTGGGCACAGGGTGAGACTGAAGTGGTCATGCGAGGCATCAAGCCGAACTTTATCTGACTTGGCATCTGCCTACCAAGCCCCGATTCTCAGTCTGCTGGAAGGAGAAATGGGCAAGGCCATGCAGGAGAAGGGGTATGGATGGAAGGATTTGTGCACTTTTGCAGGCAAGGACGAGGACAACAGAGAAGCCCTAAACTCCGGCATGTTCCTGGCTACGTGGAACTCATAGGTTCTGCAAAACGTGAGAGATATAGAGCGGCAGTGCAGTTGTGTCGGATCTGCAGAGCTAAGGACACACGAGCCATTCTTCGTCAACTCCCGCTACACCTCTACAAGCAAGCCACATGCAAAAGCAAAGACACAAGCACAATCCCAAGCAAAGCGCAGACCGCCAACTCCAGAGTCAAGCGATGGCGAGAATCAGGACTTGCCAGAGTGCGTGTTGGGTCCGTCACGCCAGCTTGGGATTTGAAAAGGAGAACATTGGACCTCGGATTCGAAAGGCAATGGAACCTTTCCCGAGCTACAGCGGCGAGATGCCACCTCCCGAGGCTCCGTGACTTTACCCAACGTCCAGCATTGGAGCATATTGGAACATGTCGTGCGCAGGCTGAGTCGACCTGGTCCGACCAGGCACCTTGATCTTCCCGTTGGCCACCATGTAGCAGCAAGCACCTGATCATGTACCGAGAGAGCCGTTTGCCTGCGGCAGGAACTGTACAACTACTTCTTCTCCAGCGGCTTTATCAAGCCGAAAAAGAAAGCCAGCAAGCCGAAGCCAACGCCGCAGCAGATGGAGCAATATTTTCGCACATTGAACCTGAGGCCTTTTCATTTCTGATGCATCAGTACTGCTTCTCTTGGGTTTGTTGCTTCGCATTGGTGCTGGAATCAACAGGCCTGGAGCCAAAGCGGCGGCGGTAAAGAAAGCCTATCGACAGCTTGCGCTGCGTTTCCACCCAGACAAGAACCAAGACAGCAGCAGGCTCAGGATGCACTGCCTGTCAAGCAGGATGGAATGAGCATGGGACGCTTTAGCAACAGGCACCGAAGCAAAGTTGAAATTTCAAGAGATCACAGAGGCCGGGCCACGTTTCAGACAAGGCTGCCATGGCTGTCCAAGACTGTCGCTGTGTTGCACCGCGAGGCTTATGCTGAGGTGTGCAGAGTATTAGATGGGAAAGGATTGAACGAGCAAAAAGGATCGGCTGAGTTGCTGCATCATCTACACGACTCTTTTGAAGGCACATTGTGGTTGCTGGTTGAAGAGGGACATGGCTCGGCGACATCATGAGCGAGTAGGGTATGGCCCCTGCTGCGTCAGCCGTCTGCCTGCATCGATCACCCAGAATTGTAGAGACGACGACTCCAACACCGTCAAGCGCGCGTAAAGCCAGGAACTCAAACCGAGAGAAGCTCCAAACATTCCGACCATCCGCACATCGCTTCTTATGTCTATCGTCCATCTGTCTCACTCTGTCTCTCGATTTGTGCGTCCGTCGCTTGTCCATCATTACGTCTTGATAAGATAACAAGCAATCACATGAGTCAGGAACTACTGGCAATAAGGTATTGATGTAGGTTTTGCTTTAGAGTTGTAGGCAGGTAGGAGGGCTTTGGATGGGCAGTGGTGTTTCGGGATGGATGGATGCACGTGTGTACGGAAGCAAGGGCAGTGTGGCCGGGTTGTTGACGCTCGCGCGTAGCATGCTCAGGGGCGTTGTTGTTTGTTGTTGTCGCTGTCGGTGCGATTAAAGACACAACAACGACAGGATACTTCATTACAAGCACATGGTGGTATGGAAACAGAGTACGGTCAGCGATCATGAATCATGATTGATCGAGTCGCTCATTTTTGGAAAGGAATCTGGGCGTATCAAAGCTATATAGATTTAGCCTTGAATAAATTCCTCAATAAAAAAAATATATATACATATATATATATATCAAAATGAATCCATCTGAAAAAAGGACCTTTTCATCTTTCTTTCTCATATTAGATATATTGATTTATATTCAATATTTTATATTGTTGGAATTTCGAATTTTTTTTTATATTGAAGATGATGATAAAAATATATTATAGATCTCAATTAAATATTTAAGAAGATTTTAAAATGAATAATCTCTTAAAATTATTGGTTAGTCTTTATTTTTTCTAATAATAAGAGTAAAGGTTGGCATATATATTATTTATCATGATATTTTGCTTGCTTCTTCCGAATATATTAGAAGAAAACTAAAAGATAAATATAATATTTAAATATAAAAATTTGATGTTTTCTTGGATTTATCTAAAAATTCTGTTGATTTGATTTTTTGAAAGAATGAATCTTGATTGATAAGATTTTAATCGAAATTCTGAAAAATATAAAATGGCGATTATAAATAAAAAAAATTAAATGAAAATTATTTATAAGAAATTTAAGGTTATTGATTTGTTTTGAAAATTAATGATTTTCATTTTTTTTGAAATTTGAAATATAAAATTATTCATATTAATATTATTGAATAATATTTTTTAAAG